ATTGCCCCCTGAGGCTCCAGGCGAGACTTTGTTCCTTGTCTCTCCTAGTTTCTGATGGCTGCCCACCCTCCCTGACTCTTTTGGGGATAAAGACAGTAGAGTAGAGCTGAAGCACACTTTCCAAAGCACCCAAAACTAAAATCTTTTATATTCATATCCCTTTGTGACCCTTTGTGAATTATAATTAAACTATTAAAAAAAAAAAAAACAACCAGTCTCACTGAACTGTTCTGATGAATAATAGGACTATCTATGATAAGCAGGTAATTTGGGGATTATTGGAAGAAGTAAGTCCCTAGAACTCGGTAGCATTTTGATTATGAGATTATATGCTTCCTTTTAAAAACTGACTTCTCACGAGGGTGCTTCTAAATAAAAAAGTATTGCCAGCCAGGGGATCTTTACTAAATCTTTATTGCCACATGCAACCACACAGATTACAAGAGATGTTGGGTAGAAAGTTATTTTTTATGCAAAAGCATATTTCCAACTTAAATATATCCAAGATTTCTTTGTCCTTGTTTTTACCTCTAGGCAATCAAGAAATTTAGATCCCATAGTTCACTGATAAGAGCATTCTTGTCCTGTTTGGATATTTTAAAGCACTTCACCTATATAATCTGAAAGAGATCACAAGGAACATACAGAATTCAGACACTGGCCTAAGAAATGTATGTAGTGTGGTGATTATCCACAGAAATAATAACAAATGAAATAAATTAAAGAAAATAAGAGGGCAGATATTCCTGTACAAAGGGCCATAAGATCTGCCCAATTACTCACCCTTCACCTTATCTCAAACATACATTTTTACAACCCATTCCTTAAAAAAATCACAGATAGCTCCACTTCCTCTTACTATCTCTACTTCAAAATCTAAATAACCATCCTTTTAAAATAATCCATAACTTGGTTCTCAACAATCAAATTTTCATTTAGCAGGTAATAATTCGACCTGAATAGCTTTCAAGCAGAAACACATCCACCCTTGACTACGACCACACTTTTAGCCTCTTCTGTCCCTTCAATATTAAGGTATTCTACAGCAGGACTATAAGGTATTATTCACTTATTTAACCTCAATCTATACTGGCTCCAAATTGTGCCCCAAGCTACCAGCCCATGTTCTTTGCAATCCACTGAGCAACAAAGAACAATGTTGACTAAGAACCACCTCATTGGAACCACCAAAGAAGCTTGCTGAAATGCAAATTCCAGGACCCCATGTCAGACCACTAAATATAATTTTTGGGAAAATCACTGAGGGATTTGCACTTTTCCTAAACATTTCAAGTTGTCTGTTATCATATTAGTAAATTGGAATATGACTAGAAAGCCCTAACACTTAGAAAGACCCACTTTATGCATTCTCTTCTGCCCATAACTTGAGGGCACTGTTTTGAAGGAATAAAGTAGTTTCGGTTGGCACCCCACAGCTAAGCATCATCCACAGACCCCTATAACTCACACATATCTGTAGTAGACCCTTAAACACAGACTCCATTTGTTTTCTTAAATCCTATCCCATTTCATTCTTCCTTTTTCAATTACCAAAACTCCCTTGTTTCTGGGAGAAACACCCTTGCAATTCATGGTTTTAGTGTTCCATTCCATTTCCTAGAGACTTCTTCATAATATCCTTATTCCAGTCCAGAAACCCCTTCCAGAAAGGCCAAGAGAGTGGTTCAGCAAAGAAAAATCAAATTTCTAAAGGATATATTATTTGGAAACTTTTTTTTTTCTTTTTTGACAAATGGAACAAGGAAAAGTAGCAATTAACCTGCTGTGAAAATATTTTGGACCACAAAACGTACCAGCAGGACCTGATTTCCCCTTGGTTAGCACAGTAGAGAAGACTAGAAGGGGATTTTTCTTAGGGGATGAAAACTTGAGTTCAGTGTGGTGGGACACTCTATCTGTAGAGATTTCAAGTCAATGTAACATGAGGACAATTGCATCTTGTTCGTTTGACTGAGAAAAATAGAGGGTTTTTTTTTTCTTTTTCTCCCCCCACCCCCAAAAGGAGTTGAGTTTGTCCACCGCAGACAGCAACTCTACACAAACTGTCACTGACGGGAGGGTGGCTCTCCAGGCCCTTCATTCAGTGCCTTCTGAGCAAGACGCTGAGAAAGAAAACCCACTTGTAACTGGGACAGAGAAGCATTTTTCCTTAACACTGTGCAAAACTCCTGCGTTCAAGCTGTCTTAGTAAAGTGCTTCATGGCAGAACGTTGTCGGCCAACTTACATGGCATTTGGATTTGAAGTTATATGCCATTTGGGGAAGATTACTATAATTAGAAAAATGGCCTAATTACTTTTCTGGCAGCGGCGAAGAGAGAGAACAGACTTTTCAGCTTATAGAGACAAGTCCTTGAGAAACCTCAAAAGGTTTTGGGATCCTGTTTGACAGGAAAGAACATCTCATCTGAACCTCTTGGATCTACTGAAAACCCGAGCTGGAAAGCCAAAACCACAAAAGAGGGAGAAGGAACAAGAAAAGAAAAAAAAAACAGAAATAAAGAAAAAAATGTGCCTTCCTATTTTTGAGTTTTGAAACAGAGATGACAGCGACAGTGCTTGTCACACTGCAGGGCTGCATCTGCCCGTCCCTGTAGGAAACACATATAGGAAACAGCAGAGTTGGGGGAAAACTTGGGCTTGGAGCCTGTTGATGGCTTTGTCTGTTTCAACTGTAAATAATACGACAACATTACAACCACAGGGACCGGGGAGAGCAGCTCCTGTTATTTTAGGTCTCAAGTTAACATTTATAATATAAAATCATACTAAGTCCCTCTTTTTCCTGTGTCGAGGAGGGAGACACCGCTGCACTGAATCAAACACCCCTTCTCCAGGCCTGGGTCTCACAGGACACTGCCTTTACCCAGAAGGAAAGGGGGAACAGCGAGCACTCTGTTCCAGAAAAATGACCCAGGACTTTCCCTAGTTGGCTTCTATTTCCTGAATTTAGCAATTGGAACACCTGCAGTAGATCAAATACGGCTTCACAAAAATACAATTTTAAACTGTTGTGAATTTTATATATATATATATATATATATATTATTTTAGATGGACGTCATTTTATTTATTTTTTTATGCGGTGCTAAGGATTGAACCCAGTGCCTCACGTGTGCTATGCAGGCACTCTACCAGTAAGCCACCACCTCAGCCCTCGGTCATGAATCTTTAAAGGATATGAGGGTAAAGCCAGGATAGGAAAGCACCTTCAGATGGCATGGAGCAGGGAGAGGGGTGGGAGATGGCAGGAGACAAGTAAGAAGAATCAGTGACCACTGCTTTCAAGTCATGAGCTAATGAAAGTATTCCCTTGGTAAATGTGACTCTTGTTATGTTTCCTGTCACTAGTGATTGCAAACATATGTCCTCCCCTTCCGAGGTACTTTATCTAGCACAGAAAGGACAAGTTGGACTTTGGGCACGCTAAGAATTAAACAGCAGCAACGTCCTTCACCAGCCCCTGAGTCACCGTACAAAGGCCCCTTAGATGGAGAATTCCCAGGGTTTGCTTCCCATGTGATAGCCCTAAATGGACAATGCGAGCACCAATGTACATATATACATTTGTAAATAAATATCGATCAGTATATACTCCCCCAAATAGTGACATTTGTATCCTTTTCCAATTTCAGCCTACCCTTCAAAAACCATTTATCAAATTATCTCCTGCTTTATATCAACCAATTCACATGATAATTTTAAGGCGTGGCTATTGTTCCAACCAGATTCTCATTGACTTTATTTTTTTCTCCAGAGAAAAGGATTTTTCATATTATATAAAAAATATTAACTAAGTAAAGCCACTGCTCTTCCTTTGGTAATCATGAATTCCTCTGAAAGAAAGGGAAAATCTTCTATAATTATAATGTCCTAGTTTTATCTTTCAAGTGTGTTATAAATGGTATCTGACTGAAATACAATATTTTTATGCAATTGTGAGATATAAAAGCATTGGTTAAGATTTATTTTTTTAATTTGCTCTAATTAGTTATACATGACAGTAGAATGCATTTTGACACATGTATACAAACGGAGCCCAAATTCTTCCTCTGTCTGAATATGGTACAGAGTCACACCATGTATAATTATACATGTATATAGGGTAATAATATCCATCTCATACTACCATCCTTCCCATCCCCATATACCCTACATCCTCATACTCTCCTCACTCTCCTTTGGAAAATCCAAAATTCCTTTATTCTTACCTATCCCTCCCCCAGTGTGGATCAGCATCTGCTTATTAGAGAAAATATTTGGCCTTTGGTTTTTTGGAATTGGCGTATTTTGCTTAGCATGATATTCTCCAGCTCCATCTATTTAATGGCAAATACCATAATTTCATTCTTCTTTATGGCTGAGTAATATTCCGTTGTGTATATATACCACCTTTTCTTTATCTAGTCATCTGTTGAAGGTAGATTCCATAGTTTAGCTATTGTGAACTGAGCTGCTACATACATTGATGTAGCTCTGTCACTATAGTATGCTGATTTTAAGTTCTTTGGCTATAAACCAGGAGCAGGATAACAGGGTCAAATAGTGGTGCCAGTCCAAGTTTTCTGAGTGATCCCCATACTGCTTTCCATAGTGGTTGCACCAATTAGCAATCCCACCAGCAATGAGTTTCCCTTTTTCTCCACATCTCTCCAACAATTATTGTTGCTTATATTCTTGATAACTGCCATTTTTTTTGCTAGAGTGAGAGGCCATCTTAGAGAAGTTTTGATTTGCATTTCTCTAATTGCTAGAGATGATGAACATTTTTTCATATGTTTGGTGATCGATCATAGTTCTTCTTCTGTGAAGTGTCTATTCAGTTCCTTAATCCATTTATTGATTGGGTTATTTGTTTTTTTTTTTTTGGTGTTTGAGTACTTTGTATATCCTAGAGATTAGAGCTCTATCTGAGTCTCTGTGGTAAAGATTTTCTCCCATTCTGTAGGCTCTCTCTTCACGTTATTGATTATTTCCTTTAAAACTATGGAACACTTCACAAATCTACACGTCATCCTTGCACAGGGGCCATGCTAATCTTCCCTGTATGGTTCCAATTTTAAAATATGTGCTGCCAAAGCAAGCACAAGATATATTTTCAATGGCAAGAATATAGACTTTGGTCTGGGGTTATGGCTCAGTGGTAGAGCACTTGCCTAGCACATGTGAAGCACTGGGTTTGATCCTTCACACCATATAAGAATAAATAAAATAAAGTGATTCTGTCCATCATTTTACAACTAAAAAAAATTTAAAATAAAAGAATATAGACCTTTTTAGTTGAGCCACTATAAAAAGATGGGTTATCATCCTGAGTCAATAATTTTGAAAACAAATTGTTATGGGCTGAATTGTGTCTCCTCAAAATTCATATGTTGAAGTCCTAACCTCTAGTCCTTCAGAATGTGACTGTATTTGGAGAGAAGGTCTTTCAAGAGGTGAATCAGTTAAAATGAGGCTGTTAGCGTGGGCTCTAATCCAGTCTGACTGGTGTCCTTTATAAGAGAAGAAAATTTGGACACACTAGACACAAAAGAGATACCGGGTGCTTATCTCAGTGAGGACACGGTGAGAAAGCAGCCGTCTGATAGCCAGGAATAAAGACCTCAGGAGAAACCAAGCCTGCCATCACCAGAATCTCAGCCTTCCATCCTTCTGAACTGTGAAAAAACTTCATTTCTGTCGTCACCTGGCCTGCGGCATTTTGTTATAGCAGCCACACTGACTGATGCATAAATCATCCAGTGAGAGTAGTGATCTGGAAGCCAGACCCACAGTAAGAGCTGATGTAAAATAGACAGTGAGTAATGAGGTCAGGAACACAAGAGTCAGGTTTTTGAGTCAACGACAGACAAAGAAAATAAACATCCTGACTTCCCAGCTACGAATATTTCCTCCCTTGGACAAGGATTCTGTTGAATGGAATGCCAGAGCCTATCAGCTTCATGGGGTGAAGGAAAGTAAAAAAAAAAAAAATAAATAAAAGCCATCAGGCCTGAAATTTACAAGATGTTGGCAGATGAGAGTATGATCTCTTGGTATTGCAGGAGATTAGGTCAACGGTGAGACAAGTTCTATTTAAGGTAGGACTAGAGACCTCACAATGATTGCACCAGGGACAGAAGCTGACAGAACTCACCTGGGAAGGAGAGAGAGGAAACCAAGAAGGAAAGTAAGTAAATACAAACCTGAGTAGACTGAAAAATACATAAACTTGACTGAGTTTGCTTCAAAGTTCATAGACTTCTTCAGCATCCGGAAAGAGAGCCCTGAGAAATTAAGGTGACATAGAGACCTAACATGACATTTTCTCACTCTTGAGTCTATAACTGTGAAGTCTCTCACCTTGGCTAACCCTGAGCCTTACATGCAATGTTCACTCCACAAACACAAGTGATATGAGTGAATGTGTGAAGGATAAGTAAGAAACACCAATCTAGGATCTTTGCCAGTCACAGAGATGTTCAGACTAAAGAGAAATGAACTCAAACGAGTTGACTCTGTTTTTGATGTTATTCCTGCATTTTTTTTGAAAAGCATCCAATGACAGGCATCGGACAAGACATGTGTTTGAAAGTTCAATCTCAGGCCGACACAGTCACCTGATACAGTAAGTGCTCCTGGTGATCACATATGTATTTGGGAAATAAATTAAAGATATCTTTATGTTGACATAAGTGTATGCAGATGTGTTCAGCAGAATTAGGACCTGTAGAACTAGTCTATGCAGAGACTGTGTCCCGCTTCCCTCCCCTTCTTACTCCCTCCCTCCCACCATCATTCCTACAATCCTGGTAGACTCTCCTCAGGCTGCATGCTCCCTTCAAATCGTTGGGACCATCCTCTTATGTAGCTGGATCTTTAGATTGCAATTATTCTTAGACTCTGATACTTTGCTAGACTGAAAAAACTCCCCCCAACCCTCCAGGAAGCTACTTTTTGTATCAGTTGACATGATTTTTTCATTGTTCAAAGAACCAGACACTACTTGACAAAGTATATAAGAAGAAAAGGTATGTTAACAAAGAAGAGAATAGGAAACATTCATTTGCTCCACACAGAGCCTCAGGTGCTAGTAACACCAGCTGTGTTACTTAGAATGTATGTTTCTGTGACAGGTGAAGAATTACTCCAAATATCCCAACAGAGTAAAACTTCTCTGAGCAAGAAAGTAGTCCAGGGATAGAGAGGGAATAGAAAGATAGACAAGACATGGCCTCTTTCCTTCAGGGCTCACAATCAAGAAAGATGACAAAGATACAATACTGTTAATACCAATCAGATGGTGACAGACGCCAAGTGTGCAGTGAGTTGAAGGAGGCAATAGATTGATTCCAAATGAGGATGAAGGAAAGGCTTTCCTGAGAAAATTGTATCCAAGTTTGTGAATCTTGCTTGATAGGACAAAACTCAATTTCCCTGAGAGACCTATTTTCACACTGGTGGTCTGAGATTCCTTGACCAGGCTGGTGAAAAGAACAAACAAGGCTTGTTGTCGGAGAAAATGCCCGTTTATTGAGGAACAGCTCTGCATATTTGTAGAGCCGGACGTGGTTTGACAGTTATGACAGTTTAATGGTTGAAGGGCTTGACAGTTGGCATGGGGTACTTTCTGATTGGTGGGTAAGGATCATGTGAGCCAGCATGGCTAGTCTGATTGGTGGATAAGGATCATGTGAGCCAACAGGGCTCACCATTGGATGGCTCTTCTGCGGGGGGGGGGGCGATGGGGAAGTTAGTCTTTGGAGCCAGGGTGACTCCCAACACTGGTCAAACCAGAAAGTCTTCAGTTACAAAGGAAAAAAAGCAGGATTGTCATGTTAACTTATCTTGATGCCTAATTCTTCTGAAATTAAAAACTCAGAAAGGCTTACGCATCTAGGTTTATTACAAAGAAAGCCTCGGTGACTCATGAGCAGTTTCGTTCCACTTATTTTTGAAAGTCAATTTTAACGGAAATATTACAAGATAAATACGAAGAGATGGCTTCAGGGCAGCATGCCTCAGAAGTCTGAAGCTGCCACTCTCAATCTGTCAGACATTGCCCACTGTCATTCCAAAGCCACCATTGACTTTATTTTATTTTATTTTAGTACCAGTTATGTACTAGACTGTCATGGTTCATTGATTGTCATATGACACCGTGCTCCTGCATGCACGCACACTGATGCAAGATTTGGATCTGAATGGAAAACAGTGAACTTTAAATAATCATCCCAAGGATAGGTAACAGGTCTAACAAAGAATAGTCTTATTCTTCTTGCCTTAGGAATACACTTTAACTGTGAAATTACATAAGGATCCAGAGGATTCAGCTCCTGAAACTAAATACGCATATTTGGAATTGTTTGTGGAAGTCACCATGGCTACTCCTGGAGTTGCCTTGTCTTCCCAGAACCCTGTTTTCACACATGAAGGAGCACAACCACACCACCCACAGACTCCAAAATTTACACTGGCTCCCCGTTCACTTACACATCTTTCCTAAATCACCTTCCTTGTTATTTTGAATTTTCTTTCTTGGAATTCCTCCAGTTCCCCTGAGATGCCTTCACCTCTGTCAGCTCATTCCTCACGCTGTGCCTTCGATGATATCAACCATCAAGATGTGGAAAGGACTGGTTTCCTGTTCTACCAATAAGTCCCTGCAGTCAAAGCGGGTGCCATTTTCCTCAGACCAGTCCTTCCTGAATATCCCTGCCAAGATACTTTTCTCCCAAAGAGGTTCTTATGATGTCCCTGCTCCAAATCCAGTTACAATATGAAGTCTGAATTCATCACTGATTTAAACCCCCTCCAACTCTAGCATTTAAGCTTTTTCTACTACAATTGCTCCTGAGCCTTGATTTCAGTGTGTCTATACTCTGTTCTGCACACAACCATTAATTTTCCCAGCTCTGTTCTTTTGTTCATGGTATTCTCCAGCAATAACCTCCAAACTTTTTTTTTTTGCTCCATTTAAGTACAGTTAATTCTTGGTATTTGCAGCAGTTATTTTCTATATATTACCTTGGACATCAAACTGGTGAATAATAAACCTTTGCTCTTAGGTAAATATAGGGTTAGATTCATTCTAGCCTCTGATCAGAACATTTTTGTTGAGTTTTCAATAATATCCTTGTTCTATGTATGTTCCTTTTTAAAGACATTTTAATTTATTTTGTTGGTTCATTAATGTTGAATTCACAACCAACATCACTATATCTGATGCCTAAGTGAAACATATCTGACACATTTTCTCCACATTGCATTTCCTAGCTTTCTTGTACTTAGGAACACTAGATAGCACTTCAACACTACACATGCAGGATGTTTTAAAACAAGAAAATCATCAATCAGCCAAGTACTGTAGTGCTCACCTGCAATTCCAGTGACTCAGGAGGCTGAGGCAGAAGGATTGCAAATTCAAAGGCAGCCTCAGCAACATAGTGAGGCCCTAAGCAACCGAGCAAGACTCTGTCTCAAAAAATAAAAAAGGGATGGGGATGTGGCTCAGTGGCTAAACACCTCTGGGTTCAATCCTTGATACCAAAAAGAAATTATCACCAATAAAATGTACAGAAGTGCTAAAAGCATGGCGATAAGCAGGTTGCAAAGTGGACGCTTGTTTACAGTATGACAGCAGTAGTGAGAAGGAAGAGCGTCATCTTGTTCCTCCCCAGCTGGGAATGTGTATAGGGTGAGGGGAAAACTTTCACCACTCTGTATGTGCCCACAAATGACTGCAATTGTGTCCCAAGTATTGATACTGGTGTGATGAGTAAATTTTAGCCAATAGGAAATCATCAAATCATAAGGATTAACTGTATTATCCATTTGTTAAGAAAGCCATAGATTAGCAGAACTGGTTTCAAATTGGATGTGAGACCTCCTTACTACCTGGGTAAAAGTTATCCATCCCTCCAGGCCATACCATCCTCAGCTGGAAAAGGTAGTAATAATGTGAGACTCAAATAAGAGTTGATGTATATAAAATCCACCAGTTTCAATGAAGTTCTGTGTGAACAGGAGATGATATGGAAGTCCGTCATATTCTGCAACCATGTTACTGATTAGTTCATCTGATCACTCACTTCCCTGAATGTCT